GGGGAGAGAGGAGCTGGAGGAGGCAGGGCTGGGCAAGGTCCCTGTGGGCTCAGGGCAGCTGGCTGAGGCTCCTTACCTCCCAGGAGTCCTGAAGCCGCCGGTAGACCAGCTCAGATTCCAGGTGCCACTCAGATAGCCAGGAGCTCTGGAGGCCCCCAAGGTGCACCCTCCAGGTCAGCAGGAAGCGGTCCCTGGCATCACTGACTTGCAGGTCCTTGGGTGCAGCGGGCTGGACTGGAGGAGGAGAAAGTAAGGGACGAGTCAGGAACACGGACGAGTGCAGGGCAGCTAACAGCCTTCATGGCCTTTTGTGTGGACAGACCAGGGCTGCAGGCCAGAGCTGCCCCTACCAGCCGAGTGACCCTGGACCAGACGCCTCGTCTCTATGGCCTGTCACCTACGAAACTTGTGGGATCAAGTGTGAACATGAATGAAGCTGTGCAGATGCTCTGCAAATATAATGTAAGCTGAGTTACAGGTGCCGGCAATTAAACTAAAACGAGCTTCAATCATCCATTCTGGGGCTTCCCCACTCCCTACAATCTGATCTCTGTGGCCTTCTTCCCAGCAGAGGGCGCTGTGGTTCCTGTTACTCTTTCTTCTGTGTCCACTCTGCTTCTCTCTCCCCACCTGCTCACTCCCAGGTGCCCCTGTCAATGCTCAGGATAAATATCTCCTCTTCTAGACTCTTCTTGGCTGCTTTCCTCCCCTGGGGCAGAATCTCTTCCTTTTCTTGTCCCACCATGTTATTGCTAGTTGCCACAAAGCCAGCTCAGACTCATGGTCACCACATTTACAACATAATGAGACGTTGCCCAGTCTTGCTAGATCTTTGCACTCTTAGCCCCTGAGCCCACCCTGTGTGGAAATCCTTCTCAGCCTAGAGCTCTAGAAAGCTACTACCAACTGAACAGACCTGGAATCTAACTTACTCATCCAACCTAAGAAATTTTAGCCCACGTACTTGTTTCACCAATGAAGAAACTGATAGAGGAAGTGAAATGTCTTCACATGTGGGAAACTCGGAGAGGATCAGATGCAAATCTGTCCCCTTTCCTACACCCCAGGGCCTCCCTGATTCATTACAAAACTCCGTGGGCCAAATCTCCATAATCTACAAGAAACTCCAACACCTCTACAACAAAAAGACAAATAATCCTATTAAAAAATGGGCAAAGGAAATGAACAGACACTTCACCAAAGAAGACATTCAAATGGCCAAC